AAAAAAAAATTATATTCATTGAGGAAATTATTTAACTGTCTCCCTGCTCCAGTAAACTGTAAGCTCAGGGAGAACTGGATCTATGTCTATTCTTACTCGTCACGTATGTCTTCATGCTCAGCCCAGTACTTAGCACAGAGAAGGCATTAAAAAATTAATTTCACAGTACCTGAAACCTAGTGAGCACTGTTTGATTGTATGTTGAATCTGAGTTCTCTTCACAGGATTCATTTAAGGATGAAATGAATTTGAGTGTAATGACCATGAAAGTGCTTTGAAGTCTGGAAAGTACTGTGTAAAAGGAAGATTTCACTGTAACTCCACAGCTATTGATTTAAAACCTTGCTAACCTTTTTGGAAGTCTAAAGAAATTGCTTCCCTGTGCACATTTCTTTCCCATCTTAGAGATTCCTTCAGACTGGAGTAGAAAGGTAACAGACACTCAGCTTTTTTTCCTTTCCTTTTTTTTTGTTTTGTTTTGTTTTGTAAATCTTTGAAATTTTAATCAACTAGAAATGACATTTTCAGTAACATTTCGAGGAGGAGACTTGCTCATCTTCCCCTACTGTTATCTGCACTTTGGAAGCAGGAGAGCCTGGGTTCAAATCTCAGCTCTTTCTTTACTGGCTAGGTTATCGTAGGCACCAAGCTCTTCGTCACTCAGAGCTCTCACACACATGGTTCCTTCTCCCTGGGACGCTCTTTCCTCTCTCATACATGGCTGGCTTTTGATCAACCTTCAAGTGTCTGCTTAAACTGGCCAGGTGTGGTGACTCACACCTGTAATTTCAGCACTTTGGGAGGTCGAAATGGGAGGATCTCTTGAGCCCAGGAATTCAAGACCAGCCTAGCCAACCTAGTAAGACCTCATCTCTCTCTCTCTCTCTCTCTCTCTCTCTCTTTTAATTTTTAAAGATGGAATTTCACCATGATGGCCAAGCTGGTCTTGAACTCCTGACCTCAGGTGATCCACCCACCTTGGCCTCCCAAAGTGCTGGGATTATAGGCATGAGCTACTGCGCCCAGCCTTAAGACCTCATCTCTTAAAAAAAAAAAAAAGAAATTGACCGGGCACAGTGGCTCACACCTATAATCCCAGCACTTTGGGAATCCGAGGTGGGCAAATCACGAGGTCAAGAGATCAAGACCATCCTGACCAACATGGTAAAACCCTGTCTCTACAAAAATTAGCTGAGCAGGGGTGGCACGTGCCTGTAGTCCTAGCTACTCGGGAGGCTAAGGCAGGAGAATTGCTTGAATCCAGGAGGTGGATGTTGCAGTGAGCTGCAATTGCGCCACTGCACTCCAGCCTAGCAACAGAGCAAGACTCCATCTCAATAAAAAAAATTAGGCAGGCATGGTGGCATGCACCTGTAGTCCCAGCTACTTGGGAGGGTGAGGTGGGAAGATTGCTTAAGCCCAGGAGGTAGAGGCTGCAGTGAGCTAGGATTTTGGTCGTTGTGTTCTGTTCATTTTCTTCACAACACTCATGTTTTGTCTATTTATTATGTGCCTACTTCACTTGATTTTAAGCTTCTTGGAGTCAGGGATCATGTCTCAGTGCTCACTGAGCATCATGAATTATGATAGATACTTAGTCAATTAGGTGAATATATGGTTGGTTTAATATATGGTTGGTTGAATGAATTAATGAAGTTGCCTTCTCTTCAAATTCCTCATCTGATAGTTACTTAACAGGGCTGTGGGGAGACTTAGACCACAGATGCAAAGAGACTAGCACAGTGTTGAGCAAATAACAAGTGTTCAATAAATGCAGATTCCCTTTTCTTCCCCTGAGCTCTTCGCAGCCACAGCCTTTGACTCAGCTGTGACTGCTGTATTCTGTGTTCCTTTACTTTCATTACCAAGTCCTGCAAAATCTTCCCCCCGTAATGTCTCTCAGATCTGCCGCTAACGCAGTGTAAGCCTGTTGACTCACCCTTCAGACGCTGGTCTTTAAGTGGCTGTCATTTCTCAATTCCGTATACTATTAAAATCACCCTAAGGGATAGCACCATTTCCTTTATGTCTCCAACACCTCCACTGCACCCTGTGCCTCTCCAGGCAGGCACTGTCCATAAGAGGCACCCACTGGTCACAAGCTTAGTTCTGACTGTAATCTCATGGGCTAATAGCAGCCCATTCTTTTCACCTTTCCTTCTAGCCTCACAGTTTATTCTCCTTTCGGACTAGATGCTGGTTCAGCTGGGCCTCGGAGTCTTCTTTGGCATCGCCTCCTTGAGTGAGAACTGGATGGTGAAAATTTTAAATTTCCAGTATTTGTCAATGCTCTGTACCATTTTTTCCCCATCTAAACAATCTTAGCTGAGTCATTTGCTTCTTCAGATTTGGGAGAACTTGAGTCTAAACCTCATATTTTATAGACAAAACCTAGAGGGAAAATGTGACTTGCCATGTTCATGTAAGCCAGGATAAGGGACTAGGCCTTTTGCTCTTAATCTAGTAGTTTCCCATTTTAGTTTGCACTTTGACCTTCCACCAAGCAAAGTTACTTGCAGTTTCTTGTAGACTGCTTCTTCTTCATCTCTTTTCCTTTAATTCAGTGATGTAGGGTTACAACTGGAATAAAAGCATGCTTACCTACGAACTAGGTCTGACAGGAAGCAAGGACACAGAAGAGCAGAAGGTTAGCTTATGAAGGGTTCATGTCCTTATCTCCTAATTCTTCATTGGTGCCATTTCTGCTGCAGCACCTGTCACACCAATGCTTCACCCCCAGAGCACGCCTCCTGCCCTGCAGCATGCCGACACAGTGGCTTTCTATTCATTTCTGACAAACTTCTCTAGGAGCCAAGCAGATAGGCATGCCACTGTATATGTAAAGATGATATGTAATAAGCAAAAAGCTTTAAGTGTCAAGAGTATCTGAATGTTAGCAATAAAGGTGGACTTCCTTTCTCTTCTACATCATTTAGTAAGTAACTATGTGCTATCCATTCTTTCCCCTGTCTCTTCTGCATCTCCTCCATCTTCATTCACTGTCTTGGTTCAGGCTCTTAAGAGTGCTTGCTTGAACTATTTCAGACATCTTCCAGTGAATCTTCTATCTTTATTCCTCCCCTCTGGTCCCACTTCCACACTGGTTCCAGAGGATCTTTCTAAATTTAAATGCGATTCTCTTGTCCTTTTTGAAAATCCTCTAGTTTTTAATCCACACGCATCAAGTTCCTTGGCATAACTCGCTAAGCCCTCCATGACCTGCCTGCCCCCTGCCTACCACCATAGCCTCGTTTTCCGCCACTCTGTCCTTCACAATTTGTTCTCCAGCATCACAGGCCAATGCAGTCAGCCCTCTGTATTTGCAGGTTCTGCATCTGCCCATTCAAGCAACCGTGGATCAAAATTGTTTTTAAAATAATACAATGATTTAAAATGAAATAAATAAAAACAATACATGATGTTACCTGTGGGCTTAAAAACAAAAAAAGATTTTAAAAAATTTAAATTCAAAAAAGACAAAAACAATATAGTAGAACAACTATTTACATAGCATTTATATTGTATTAGGTATTATAAGTAATTTAGAGATGATTTAAAGTATATGAAAGGATGTGCATAGGCTATATGCAAATACTACACTATTTTATTTAGAACCTTGAGCATCCTTATATTTAGGTATCTGGTGGGGGTTCTGGAACCAATTCCCTGCAGCTATGATTCTGTATAATTCTCTGAACATAATGTATTTCATATTTCATATTTCCATGACACTGTACATGCTGTTACTTCTGCCTGGGATGCTCTCTCTGCCTTATCTATCTGGGAAACTTTCATTCATTCTCAAAACCCAGCTTAGACTCTGTTTCAGCATCCATCTCCAACTCATCTGTAGAATTAAACATTTTCTATCCTCTCACACTTCCAAAGCCTGTGTTTCTATTGCAATTATTCTATATTATACATATATTTGTTTTCATGTTGCACTTTGAATCCCCATCACTCAACACAAGGCCTGGCACATAAAGGGTATTAGATATGCATATATATATTTCGCAATTGAGATATAATTCACATATCATAAAATTCACCCTTTTAAAGGACAATTCAGGCCAGACGCAGTGTCTCATGCCTGTAATCCTAGTGCTTTGGGAGGCCAAGCACCTGAGGTCAGGAGTTTTAGACCAGCCTGGAAAATATGGTGAAACACCCACTCTGTACTAAAAATATAAAAATTAGCCAGGTGTGGTGGCACATGCCTACAGTCCCAATTACTTGGGAGGCTGAGATATGAGAATCACTTGAACCCAGGAGGCTGAAGTTGCAGTGAGCTAAGATTGCCCCAGTACACTCCAGCCTGGGCAACAGAGTGAGACTCTGTCTCAAAAAAAAAAAAAAAAAAAGAACAATTCAGTGGGTTTGGCACATTCTGAAGATTATGTGACAATTACCACAATCTAATTCCACAACATTTTCATCACTCCTAAAAGAAACCCTGCAATTGTCAGCAGTTACTCCCTCTTAGTGCCTCCCTTGCGTTGGACCCCCTGTGGGTGCCTGGACACCACTAGTCTACTTTCCATCTCTATAGATTTGCCTGTACCAGACATTTCATATAAATGGAATCATACAACACGTGGCCTTTGGTGTCTGGCTTCTTTCACTTAGCACAGCGTTTTCAAGGTCCATCCACATTATAGTGGGTATCACTACTTCATTCCTTCTTACAACTGAGAAATATTCCACTTATGGATATGGAGATGAGTTGGAGATGCTCCTTTTGTTTATCCACTCATCGGCTGATGGACATTTACATCGTTTCTATTTTTTTTTTTTTACTCTTCCAAATAGGCTGCTATGAACATTCCTGTATGAGTTTTTGTGTGTCAATAAATACTTGAGTCAATGAATGTGTGAGTGAATGGATAATGACTTATATTTCATATTTGTCCAGGAATTTCATATTTTCATAATTTCATATATTCCATATGTGTTTTTTGGCCAGGATATGAATTGTAACCTTCTTTTCTGCTTTTGGGCAGGTCTGGGCCGAATCATTCAGGCTGAAGAATATCTATTCCAAGCCCAGTGGACAGTCCTCAAATCAACTGACTGTAGTAATGCCACCCACTCTTTACTGCATCGGAACCTGGGACTTCTCTACATAGCCAAGAAAAACTATGAAGAAGCCCGTTACCATCTGGCCAATGATGTAAACAAGCTAAATTATAACACCTGGATATTTCCAAATCTAAATGATAAAACCTGGATATTTCCAAAATCTGCTTAATTTTTTAAAAACTGCATTTTTCAAAAACTTTCCATTTACAACTGATTATTTGGTGGGATGTTGGTAATAACACAATTCTAACGACCTGAGTTCAAGCATTTCTACTTCCTGGCTATTCAACCTTGGCCAGGGCACATATTCCTGAAGTTTCGGTTGTCCTGAAGAGTAAAGGGAGGCAAAACAGCATACTCGTTAAGAGAAAGGCTTTGCTTCTAGTCCCAGTTCTGTTGTTTCACTAGCTTGGAAAATTTCACTAGTCTTGGAAAATTTTTTTAACCCCTTTCATAACTTGTAAGACAGGAATAATAAAATAGTCTCTGCCTTATTGGGTCATTGCAAAGATTAATAGGGCAATATATGTATAGTGCTTCGGCTGTTATTTTTTTAAAATAACATTAATATACTTCAGAGTGTTGATTATTAAATTTAAAAGAGCTAGATATATAAGAAAGCACTTATCAATGATAAAACTGTATAAAAGTTAGGTGGGATGTTAAGGGTAATAACTGAATTGTTCTTTCAAAATTTAAGAGGTTTCTATTAGGATTTAAGCATTGGAAAATATTAACAGAGAAAAGAGTTCTTGGGCATGAAATCTGAGTTAGTGCAGGGTCAGACTGCAGTCTCCATGCAGGCTGGTTCTTTCTTCAGCCTCTCTTCTGGCTTCTGCACCAAGCAGCCCTTCCTCTGGTTGCCTGCCTGTACAAAAATGCCCATAGATTAAATTTTATGCTGGTTATTCTTTAAATCCCCTTACCCCATATCCATTCTCTTCCCTACTCTATGTCCTGGGAGTCTGACCTCTATGGATGACACAACCTCTATGGACTCCGTTGCTCTCTGCCTTTGGTTGGGTTTGGAGAGTAGGAGGCATAATGGGAGTGGAGACTAGGAGGAGAAAGAGGCTGGGGCACTGATTCTCTATACTGCCTCTCTGCCCTACCTCTGAGATGGCAGGAACAGTGTTCCTCTGTGCCACAGCTCCTGTCAGGCAGCCTTCTTCCATAGTGCTAGCTCTTGCTGGGCCCTGATAACCTTGTTTCCTCCCCTTGCTGTTTCAGGTGTCAGGAAGGTAATAGTTTCTTGCTGTTGGTACCCCCTGCTGTTTTACTAGGCCTTGATTTCACTTGTAGAGCTTTTCCCTAGCCCTTGTTGGTTTCTTAACCCTTCTACATGTCAAATAATAATAATTCCATTAAGCTAACTTCAGGCAATCTTTTTGAGGGTGCCATCTGGTTCCACCTAGGCCCTTGACTAATACAATTCTTTTTTTTCTTTTGGAGATGGAGGCTGGCTGTGTCACCCAGGCTGGAGTGCAATGGTGCAATCTTGGCTCACTGCAACCTCCACCTCCCGGGTTCAAGAGATTCTCCTGCCTCAACCTCCTGAGTAGCTGGGATTACAGATGCCCGCCATTACGCCTGGCTAATTTTTGTATTTTTAGTAGAGATGGGGTTTTACCATGTTAGTCAGGCTGGTCTCGAACTCCTGACCTCAGGTGATCCGCCCACCTCAGCCTCCCAAAGTGCTGGAATTACAGGCATGAGCCACCGTGCCCAGTTGATAAAATTCTTTGTTTGTGTTTTCTCTATATACTCTACATCTTCCAATAAATTAAGCAGAGGCACATTCTGTCCTGAGCTGGGCCACAGTTAAGAATTAGTACAAAGAGAATTAGCACAAGCTCAGATTCTTTAGCATAGCTTTAACAAAACATACACACAACTTTACTGATATATACCATAAAATTTACCCATTTTAAGTGTATAAATTATTTTTAGCAAATTTACAGAGTAGTGTAACCATCAGCACAAACAAGTTTCAGAACATTTCCATTACCCTAAAGAGATCCCTTGTATCCATTTGCAGTCATTTCCCATTCCCATTCCAGCCCCAGGTAACCACTTCCTGTTTCTACAGATTTGCCTTCTCAGGATAGTTCATATAGACAGAATCGTGTGTGGTCCTTGCATCTGACCTCTTTTCCCTAGCATGATTATTTTGAGATTCATCCATGTTGTTCCATATATCAATAGTTCATTACTCTGTTGCTAATTAGTATTCCATTGTCTGCATATACCATAATTTGTCTATCCATTTATCGATGGATGGACATTTTGGTTGTTTCTATGTTTTGTGTATTTTAAAGAATGTGGGTGTAAACATTTATGTACAATTCTTTGTGTGGACATGTTTCCATTTCTCTTGGGTAGGTACTTAGAAGAGGAATTGCTGGGTCATGTAGCAACTCTATGTTTAACTTTTTTATGAACTACCAACCTGTTTCTACAGAGGCTACACCATTTACATTCCCACTGGCAATGTGTGAGGGTTTCATTTTATCCACATCCTTCCCAACACTTTTATTTTCTGAATTTGATTCGAGCCATCCTAGTGGGTATGCAGTGATATCTCATTATGGCTTTGTTTTGCATTTACCTAATTACTAACAATGTTAGCATCTATTCATGTGCTTATTATTCATTTGAATATCTTTTTGCAGAAATGTCAGTTCAGATCTTTTGCCATTTTAAAATTAGAATGTTGTGGCCGGGCGCGGTGGCTCAAGCCTGTAATCCCAGCACTTTGGGAGGCCGAGGCGGGTGGATCACGCGGTCAAGAGATCGAGACCATCTTGGTCAACATGATGAAACCCCGTCTCTACTAAAAATACAAAAAATTAGCTGGGCATGGTGGCGCGTGCCTGTAATCCCAGCTACTCAGGAGGCTGAGGCAGGAGAATTGCTTGAACCCAGGAGGCGGAGGTTGTGGTGAGCCGAGATCGCACCATTGCACTTCAGCCTGGGTAACAAGAGCAAAACTCCATCTCAAAAAAAAAAAAAATTAGAATGTTGTAACAGTTTTTCATATGTGTTCTGGATACAAGTCCTTTATCAGATATATGATTTGCAAAAGGAACTCAGGCACTCTCCTTCTTCTTCCTGCTGTAGATTTATTTTGCCAGTTGTGCATTTGGAACAGAGGACATTAGGACTTCAGGAGGCTACTTCCACCTTGCTAATATATTCTATGACCTTAAAAAGTTGGAGCTGGCAGACACATTGTACACCAAGGTGAGCTGGGGAATGTGGGAGCCACACCTTGACTCTTAGGCTTGATATCTTACAACTTGTACTGGACTATTCATGAGAAACCTACCTACCATTCATGAGAAAGAGGCACAGAGAGGTAAAGTGGCTTGCTGAAGATTATATAGCCTGATACATGATATACTCTATTTTCTTTCTTCTGTATCTCCACTACCAAAATTAACTAACCCTTAATATCCATAGGGTGATTAACGAATAATGAAGGATAGGTCAGTAAGAGCCAAACCCCTTCAAATAGACTGTTGTGTGGTCTGTCACACTCATACAGCAAGCCAGTGTGGGCATACTGAAGTGTCCGATAGAGAAGGAGAAGAGGTTTCCAAGGGAAATCTATTGCTAAAAGATCCTGTCAAGGGATCCAAGAGCATGAGAGTACTTTAACATGTCCATATTTACCTATAAAAGATTTAAAACTATTTCCAATATCTTGAAATGTCAGTTATCTCCATATAGTAACACCTCACTTAGCAGGCAATCATTTGTGTAATAAATGGGTAATATAGGCTTTCATGCTGACTGTTGACTCATGTTTTAGACCTGCCTCTGAGAAAGAGGCATTTTGCTGTAGCTTAAAAGCTTTAGAGTCAGATAGACCTGGGTTTAAATTCTGGCTAAGCCACTTAACAGCTATTACCAAAAGTCATGTGGGATCTGAACTTCTCTCAGCCTCAGTTTATTTACATGTAAAATGGGAATAATAAGAATATTACATCAGGATGTTGTGATGATGTGAAGGCTTCGTGCTGTATGTGCTGCACAAAAGATAACCACTGTTATTAGACCCTACTAGGGCTACCCCAAGGCGTGGCCACAGGCTCTTTGCAGCCCATCACTTGTTACACTTACCTTGGCCAGGCCTGTTTGGGCTCCTAGGGCTCCCTCTGCCTCCAGGCACAGGAAGAGAGAGAACCTCTTAAGTTGTTAAGAAACCTGGCTGGCCGGGCGTGGTGGCTCACGTCTGTAATCCAAGCACTTTGGAGGTCAAGGCGGGCATATCATCTGAGGTTGGGAGTTCAAGACCAGCCTGACCAACATGGTGAAACCCTGTCTTTATTTCAAAAAAAAAAAATAAATAAGAAACCCGGCCAAATGCACTATTCTCCTCACCTGCCTGGTCCAGTGGCTGAGATCTGGCCTGCTTGTCATATTACCATCTCTTTTCCCAACAGGTCTCTGAGATCTGGGATGCATATTTGAACAATCACTATCAAGTCCTCTCACAGGCTCACACCCAACAAATGGATTTACTGGGCAAATTATTTGAGAATGACACTGGCTTGGGTAAGTAGCAGTTTTCCCTGAAGGCAGAGCGTGACTTCATCTCACTCAATACACAGAACTTGTCCCTAAGAGGGAAAGCAGCTGTCCCTGTCATGAAGCAGAGCACTGCCACCTTCCCCATGCTGCTAATGGAGAAAACTGAGACATGGGGATCAAAGAGATTTTACCAGTGTTGGGAAGAATTCAGATCCTTATTATCACACATAGCCATTCAGGGGGTTAATTAATAAGGGACAGATTTAGAGGAAAAAAAGACTTCATCAAAGCCCCCTGTGATTGCTGCAGAAAATCCACTTTTTATGTTATCCCTCCTTAAAAGATTGGGCAGCTGGGCTGGGCATGGTGGCTCACACCTGGAATCCCAGCACTTTGGGAGGCCAAGGCAGGCGGATCATGAGGTCAGAAGACGGAGACCATCCTGGCTAACGCCGTGAAACCCCATCTCTACTAAAAGTTAGCTGGGTGTGGTGGCATGCACCTGTAATTTTAGCTACTTGGGAGGCTGAAGCAGGAGAATTGCTCGAACCTGGGAAGCAGAGGTTGCAGTGAGCCGAGATCATGCCACTGCACACCAGCCTGGGTGACAGATCGAGACTCCGTTTCAAGAGAAGAAAAAGAAAAAGATTGGGCAGCAGTCTCCAATCTTTTTGGCACCAGGGACCCGTTTCATGGAAGACAATTTTTTCATGGACTCGGGGGTTGGGAAGAGATGGTTTCAAGAGAATTGAAATGCATTACATTTATTGTGCCCTATGTTCTTCTTCTTATTATTAATATATTGTAATATATAACAAAACATACCGTGCATTATAATATAGAATCAGTGGGAGCCCTGAGCTTGTTTTCCTGAAACTAGATGGTCCCATCTGGGAGTGATGGGTGACAGTGACAGATCATCTGGCATTGGATTCTCATAAGGAGTGTGCAACCTAGATCCCTCCCATGCTCAGTTTCCAACAGGGTTCACGCTCCTAAGAGAATCTAATGCAGCTGCTGAACTGACAGGAGGCGGGGCTCAGGTGTTAATGCGAGCGGTGGGGAGTGGCTGTAAATAGATGAAGCTTTGTTCACCCCCACCACCCCTGCTCACCTCCTGCTGTGCAGCCCAGTTCCTAACAGGCCACAAAACAGTACTGGGCCATGGCCTGGGGGTTGGAGACTCTTGCTCCAGGACATAGAAGCGAAGGTAGACTGTACACAGAAGTTGCATTGCTGATTTCTTCTCGTGCCTTAGTTTCATGCTTTACTGAACAGTGAGGTTCTCAGTGGCAGGGCCCAACTGGATTAAACTGTATTCCCTGGTGCAGCAAAGGGCTAAGTGTTAAATAGCACTGTATAGCATCATGCCGTCAGAGACAATGAAAAGACACAGAGGATCTTGTTTCTGCTCAAAAGAGACATACAGTGCAGTTGGTGATATAGAACCTATAGGCAATAATGAAAGAATATTCCTGTAAGTACAAATTATATTACAAGATGAGTCCCAGAATGAAGACATAAGGACAGCTGGGTGGTGTTGAAGAAGGAAGACCCTAGAGGAGAGGTTTTGAGCTACAGTTTAACAAATTAATAACTTAATTGAATTTTCTCTCATTATGCAAGTAGTTCACATTACAGCAGAACACTTGGAAATCACAGATTTCCAAAGATAGCCAAACTTAACATAATGGTGCATATCCTTTTGTCTTTTTTCTTTAAGCTTAGTACTTGTATAAGTGCTTTTAAGTACCTGTAATAACTTCTCAGTAAATGATGACTGAAGTAGGACCAAAAACTACTGGGGAAAATAGTAAACAGAGGGAAGCATAAAGGCTGTTGCCTACACATCTTTGGCCTGGGGGAGAAGAGTTAAGCTGATGCAACCACAAAAAATCCCTCCCCCAGTTCTCCTCTCAGCTATAGGACCCAAGGAATTGGACCCAAGCAATCTGCCTGTAACAAATTCTCTATGTTTGCAAGCCCAAGAGATCTAGAGTTCACGACTCCAAAAGAGAAACCTTAGCAACTTTGGGACCTGTGGGAGTAAGCATATTTTCAGGCTACTCTGATAATGACATGCTAAGCAAAGCTGGAAAGCGGTCTGAAACTCCTGCGTCCTTGCTTCCTGCTTTACACTGTGAAGGGAGTCCTCCAGGTAAAGAGCTTGCTGTAATTTGTACTATTTCCACCAGTGTCCCTGGAAAGGCTTCAGCAGACCAGGCCCTGTAACAGCTGAGTGCTTTTGATGAGGGGAGACTCAATTGCCAAGAGTTGTTTTTCCTTTCTCCCCCTTCCAATGCAGATGAAGCCCAGGAAGCAGAAGCCATTCGCATCCTGACTTCAATCTTGAAAATTCGAGAATCTACTGCTGACAAAGCTCCCCAAAAAACTATCTTTGTTCTGAAAATCCTGGTCATGCTTTACTACCTGATGATGAATTCTTCACAGGCAAGTTTCCCTAAAAAAGCAACATGTCTAAAATGAAGGTAGAAATTCATCTAGTTGAACTCATCTGTGTTTTGCCCAATTCCAATAGCTTTTGCCCTCAGGGCAAACTCTCACTCCAAAGAAGTTCAGATGCTTCTGACGTTTCTCTTGTGTTGAGTCCAGCCTGCATAATGGAAGCTGGATTGTCTTCTTCCCCGAGGGTTCCCAGGCTTGCATAGTTCAAGGGAGTCTGGGGCAGTGCTAGGAAGCCTGCAGGGCAGGAGGGATCCGAGGAGCATGGGAGGGATGAAGTAGCAGCTCTAACTCCACTCAGTGACTGAGTTCCCTGTTGCTGTGGGGATTCAGGCAGAAATGCACTGCCATGAAATGATTCAAAAAGTAACCGGTTTTGAGCACTTTTTACATACCAGTCATTGGTCTGAACCCTTTACGTAATTATCATACTTAATGCTTACACCAACCTTATGAGGTAGGTATTTTATTATCTCTACTTTACAAACAAGGAAACTGAAGCACTGAGAAGGTCAGTTCTTTGCCCAATATCTTACAGACAGTAAGCATACCTGGCATATCTCAGGTTTATTGATTTATTGGTTGATTCTCTCATTCATTCAAACATTTATTGAACATCTGTCATTTGCAAAGCACTACTCTAGGGACTGGGGATACAGTGGTAATCTACGTTTCCTATCTCCATGACACTTGTGTTTTTTGGAGGAGTAGAAATAAACATATATATGTCTAATATAATTTCAGATAATAGAAACTGCTATACAGAAAACTAGGCCAGGCACAGTGGTGACTTATGCCGGTAATCCCAGAACTTTGGGAGGCTGAGGCAGGATGATTGTTTAAGCCCTGGAGTTAAAGACCAGCCTGGGCAACATAATGAGACCCAGTCTCTACTAAAAATAAAAAAAAAAAAATCAGCTGGGCATGGTGGTAGTCCAGCTACTCAGGAGGCTGAGATGAGAGGATTGCTTGAACCCAAGAGGTTGAGGCTGCAGTGAGCCATGCTTGTGCCACTGCACTCACTCCAGCCTGGGTGACAGAGCAAGATCCTGTTTCAAAAAAAAAAAAAAAAAACAGAAAAGAAAAAGCAGCAGGCAGGGGGAGAGAATGGAGGCTGGTTGGAAGGAGGCCTTTTTGTGTGGGTGACATGGGAAAATTTAAGATTCCTTTTCCTCCTCCCTCCCTCTCTTCTTTTCTTTCATCAGCTAACTTTTACTACGCACCTGCAGTATACCAGGCCTGGAGGAACTCAAAGTCAGCGGGTTATAATAGAGAGTGACAATAAAGCCCAGAGCACTGTGGGAGCACAGAGGAAGGGCACTAACCCTTTCTGGGATAGGCGTAGGAATGGGTGAGGAATAGGAAAATATTTCCACTGAACTTTCAAATTTACATTGAACAAAACCTCTTTTCTGCAGTGCAGTGTCCAATTTTCTACTGTATACTCAAGGAAGTCATTACCCCACGGGTACATTAGATCTACAAGAGGCCTTAGACAAAAGGCATACATCTATACGTCAAGACTGGCAGCTCACTTCCTTCAGGACTTGACTTGACTCAGCTGTTTTCTTTTCACTGAAGCGTTCCCTGGTCTCCCTGTCTAAAACTGTAAACCCCAACTACTACCTCTAATGCTTCCTATCCCCTTTCTTGCTTTATTTTTTTCCTTAGCATTTATCCCTATTTAAGATACTATCATGTTTTACTTATTTGTCTTGTTTCTTGTCTTTCTCCCCTACCACACTATAAGTTCCATGAGAATAGGACTTTCTGCCTGTACTCACAGTACCTGGAACATAGCAACCATTCAGTAACTATTTATAGGAAGGAAGGAAGGAAGGAAGGAAGGTAGAAAGGGAAGAAGGGAGGAAGAAAAGGGAGCTTCTGTCCAAGTCAAAACTCTGGGCCATGTGGCCCCCAGGACCACCCCAGGGTGGTCATTTACTGTGGCACCTGTCACCTCTGTGTCTTCCAGTGATGGCCTATAGGGCCTGATTAAGGCCCTACAAAGATCTCACTTTGTTAAGAAGGTATACTTAGTTTGTACTTAGTTTGTCAAGTCAGGTGGGTTTTTTTTTCTGGTGCCCCTGCTGCCCCGCCTAGCAGGGCACCAGAACAAAAACACATGTGGCTAACTGTAAGGGCCCAGCATGTGTCTACAGGTTTATCAACAAGAATTCAGTGAGTGGTGTGAAAAGGTGATGAGTTCTGTCTCATATTTCTGGAATTGAGCACAGATGGGGCCTCCCAATGGTATGCCTTCCTGTGGCAACATCCTGTTGTCACTGCAATTCTATTTCAGGCGCAGGAATATGGCATGAGGGCCCTCAATCTCGCTGAAGAACAACAGCTCGATGTCCATGAACAAAGCACCATTCGAGAGTTATTAAGTCTTATCTCAACTGAAGATCATCCCAATACTTAATGACCCATGAGCTTTGCATCAAGGGTTATTCCAGGAGCTACTGAATGTCTAATAGATTCCAGCCTTGCACAACTGCTTTGAGGTACTGTAGATTGCTGGAGTTTCCACCCTCTTTCCCTGGGATGGCACACATAGCTGTTATTTTTTCTTACACAGCATATTGAGGGGATATAAAGTTTTAGGTATAGAAATCAGTAAAAACTATTGTTTGTCATGACCTTTGTACTTCGTTTATCATGACTTTGTATGACTGAGTAATGTGTAGTCATATCGCTAATATGGTATTTGTAATTAAATTATAAATAGTTTGTCATTTTTCCAGAAGTCTCCCAGTGATGCATGTTTCACAGACGTTTTGCTAAAGGAGGGGTAAAGGAGGGAATAAAGCTATATTGGAGCAAAGTTTCTCTATTCTTAATTCTATGGTGGAGTTACCTTAGCGTTATTCTGAGGTAGATTGTCATAAAGTACCCATTATAATTCCTAGAGCAATCACTAAGAAAATAACTCCAAAAATAGTTAAAAATCAACAAAGGGATTAGAATGGTATGCTAGAAAATATCCACCTAAAGAAAAGAAGGTGGGCTTAAGCTTCATATGGAACCAAAAGAGAGCCCACATAGCCAAGACAATCCTAAGCAAAAAGAACAAAGCTGGAGGCATCACACTACCTGACTTCAAACTATACTACAAGGCTGGAGTAATCAAAACAGCATGGTACTGGTACCAAAACAGAGATATAGACCAATGGAACAGAACAGAGACCTCAGAGGCAATGCCACACATCTACAACCATCTGATCTTTGACAAACCATACAAAAACAAGCAATGGGGAAAGGATTCCCTGTTTAATAAATGGTGTTCGGATAACTAGCTAGCCATGTGCAGAAAACAGAAACTGGACCTTGTCCTGACACGTTACACTAAAATTAACTCCAGATGGATTAAAGACTTAAACATAAGACCTAACACCATAAAAACCCTAGAAGAAAACCCAGGCAAAACCATTCAGGACACAGGCATAGGCAAGGACTTCATGACTAAAACACCAAAAGCATTGGCAACAAAAGCCAAAATAGACCAATGGGATCTAATTAAACTCCAAAGCTTCTGTACAGCAGAAGAAACAATTATTAGAGTGAACCAGCAACCAACAGAATGGGAAAAATTTTTTGCAATCTACCCATCTGACAAAGGGCTAATATCTAGAATCTATGAAGAACTCCCATTCAAAAGTGGGGGAAGGACATGAACAGATACTTTTCAAAAGAAGACATATATGAGGCCAACAAACGTATGAAAAAATGCTCATCATCACTGGTCATTAGAGAAATGCAAATCAAAACTACATTGAGATACCATCTCACACCAGTCAGAATGGCGATCATTAAAAAATCTGGAGATAACAGATGCTGGAGAGGATGTAGAAAAACAGGAACACTTTTACACTGTTGGTGGGAGTGTAAATTAGTTCAACCATTGCAGAAGACAGTGTGGCAATTCCTCAAGGACTTAGAAATAGAAATTCCATTTGACCCAGCCATTTCATTATTGAATATATATCCAAAGGATTATAAATCGTTCTATTATAAAGACACATGCACATGTATGTTCATTGCAGCACTGTTTACAATAGCAAAGACCTGGAACCAACCTAAATGCCCATCAATGACAGACTGGACAAGGAATATGTGGCACATATACACCATGGAATACTATGCAGCCATAAAAAACAATGAGTTCGTGTCCTTTGTATGGATATGGATTAATCTGGAAACCATCATTCTCAGCAAACTGACACAAGAACAGAAAATCAAACACCACATGTTCTCACTCATGGGTGTTGAACAGTGAGAACACATGGACACAGGGAGGGCAGCATCACACACTGGGGTCTGTTGGGGGGTAATAGGGGAGGGACAGTGGGGGGTAGGGACGTTGGGGAGGGATAATGGGAGAAATGCCAGCTATAGGTGACAGGGGGATGGAGGCAGCAAACCACATTGCCATGTATGTACTTATATAACAGTCCTGCATGATTTGCACATGTACCTCAGAACCTAAAGTACAATAAAAAATATGTATATTGAAAAAACAAGAATACATGATCCTCGGGGGAAAAAAAAGGTGGGATGAAGGAACAAAAAGGACATGAGACACATAGAAAACAAATAGCAAGATGCAGACATAAATTAGACATAAGGTCTTTCTGTGCCAGAGGAGGTCCCTGGGCCTCTCAAGGCGCTTCAGTATGGATTGACTGAGACGCCATTCCAGGCTGGTGTCTTTCTCATCTCAGATGATGATTTGAAGCAGACGTGGGCCATCGATACAGTGTAGGGGAGAGGCACTCTGGAAGATCCCCTGTGATGCAGAGGACAGAGGGTGAGCCTTGGACTCAGACATGCCTGAGTTCAAATTCCAGCTCTCTCACATCATTGCTTTGTGACCTTGATCTCCCCCTAGCCTCATCCATGATTGTTGTAAAATGGCCCAGATGTGGCCACAGCTGTATCAGCTCGTCCCCTCTTGATGACTCTGGTAATTTAGCATATCCTTTTTTTTTCTCTCTTAGTTTCTCTCCACACCTGCCAAACAGCATTTTGCTTCATGAGCAGATCTGCACCCAGGGAGAAGATACGCAGATCAAGAACCTGTCAGAGAGTTTTATGTTTCTCACTGTAAAGTAATTCACTCCGACGCTTATCATAAAAATAAGTCAGATGGGTCACCCTGCCCCTTCAGGTAAAATCAGCTGGAACCCCCATTCCATACTTCTGGGCATTTTTATGCTTCTTTAAGACGGCTATGAAGTCCCGGGGGCTTACTTGTCTTTCAGCTGTCTCTTGATCTAATTTTCAGCTTCAGTTGAATTCTCATTCTCCAGTCCGTATCGTGTAGCACTTTCTTTTTCTCTTTAAGGACACAGCCGCTTCTTCTTAACTCTTTTGAGTCAGCTCTTTCAAACAGATTCTTAATGGAGGGGTAAGGAGGAGGATCAACAACTCTTCAGCAGATAGTTTTTAAAAAAATATTAGAACTCAACCTATCTAAAAACACTCTAAAAAGTTCATTTTGTGAAACTCTCTATTCTTTGCCATATTCCTTGGCCTCTTTCTGCCTTCTCACTCCTGTCTTATCTATTCTCCCTGAATTCTTGTTTATTAACACTTCTGCATTGCATAAATTCATAAAGTTATTGTTTAAATTCATTGTTTCTATTGACTGATTTTCTTCTTGGTTATAGGCCATAATTTTCTGCTTTTTTCATGTTTATTAATTTAATTTTCAGTTTTTCTTCTTTTCTACCATGTGTTTAAGGCTATAAATTTTACTCTGTATACTGCTTTAGCTGAGCCCATATATTTTAAAATAGAGTGTGTTACTTTTCTAAATATTTTTATTTTTTATGTCTCAATGAGTCACTTAGAAATATGATTTTTAATTTCTAAAGGAGAAATTCTAAAACAACTTGTTTGCTATTTATTTCTAGTTTTATTGAGATCCTAGAACATACTGTATATAATTTTTATTTTTAGAAATGTTCTTTTTAGAACATGATCAATATTTTAAATGTGTGTGTGCTAGAAAATAATGAAGTTATTGGGAGCAATGTTCTATATGTGCCCCTTAAGTCAACTTTGTTCATATTTTCAGTTCTTGCATATTTTTGCTGACTTTTTGTTCATTTATAAGAAAGGTATGTAAAATCTATCCACTGACATTGTGGATTTACCTATTTCTCCTCGTAGTTCTGTTAGTTTTTGCCTCATATTTTTTTTATTTTTTTATTAGGTGTGTACACATTTAAATATTGTTATTTTCCTAGTGAACAGAATTTTTTTTGTATTATGTAATGTGTTTCTCTTTATCTCTAGTAATGTTTTGGACCTTAGAGTCAATTTTGGTCTCATATTAATATAGCTGCATTCACTTCATTTGGGGCTGGATTGCTCACTATCAGTTAGGCATCACCACCATTCCCTTCATCATTTACCTCTGTTTCTAAGGGGAAGCTTAGAGCTATAGTTCTCAATATCCCCCTCCTTTTATGATTCTGGATAAAATTCTGTCAGTGAGGGCCAACTGCTCAAGATTTTGGAAGCTGCGTAAGGAGCAATCATTCATCTTCCTGCGAATCAGCCACTGTTGTTTTCCTGGATGCAGATTTCCTGTGAAAGCAGCTTGCTGCCCTTTGCCCCCGATGTTGATCACTCAGCTACTTCAAAGATTGTGTATGCTTCTCATTCTCTGTGTTCAGTAAATCTTTTTATTCAAAATGCCTAGAGAGGCTTCTGTTTTCCTGACTAAACCCTGACTGAAACTCTTGATATTTCTTCACACAACCTTTTACTTCCAAACAATCTATATCCTTAGAGGAGTTCTCGCTCTGTTATGTAGGCTAGATTTGAGCTCCTGGAGTCAAGAGATCTTTTCGCCTCAGGCCCCTGGGTAGTGGAATTGGGGCAGGCACCACTGTGCCCAGCTCTTAATGTTTGTTTGATGCATCTCTTATAAAAATAATATGATTAGGGCCAGGTGTGTTGCCTCACGCCTGTAATCCCAGCACTTTGGAAGGTCGAGGTGGGTGGATCACAAGGTCAAGAGATCAAGATTATCCTGGCCAACTTGGTGAAACCCTGCCTCTACTAAAAATACATGCGTGGTGGCATGCGCCTGTAGTCCCAGCTACTCGGGAGGCTGAGGCAGGAGAAAGGCTTGAATCCAGCACGGGGAGGTTGCAGTGAGCCGAAATTGCACCACTGCACTCCACCCTGGTGACAGAGCAAGACTGTGTCTCTAAATAATAATAATAGCATGATTAGATACTTTTATATCTGTCATTCTTAAAAGAATCACTTAGTCCATTTACATTTTGTTTACACACTAAATGACCTGGGGTTTTAGAAGTTATTTCAGTTTAAATCTATGATCTTATTTTATGCCTTGTTTTTGTTCTGCATATTCTATTTCTTCCTTTTCTTTCTTTTGGATTGATCACATATTTTTTCCCCTTCCATTTCTTCCACTCTGAGTTTGGAGTTTATATACTGTGTTTCTGTTCTTGTAGTAATTGCCCCAGAAATCCAAGCATTTGTTCCTTTCTTATCAAAATTTAAAGTTATTCAGGAAATCCTCACCCCTGACAACAGACGGTCTTTAGAATCTTTTGACTACATTTGCCTCCCCCCAACTTACACCTTCCTATTATTTATTTCAAATATATCCTAAACTCATCTCATAATGATGTTGTAAATTTATCATATTCCTTCTTGCTTTTCACATCTTCCATCTCAGCTCACATTATTGACAAATATTTTAGTATTTCCTATAGTGAGGGGCTAAAGATGGCAAATTCTCAGATTTTCTTTCTTTCATTAATTCCAAAATGTTTTC